TAACTCATTCCGTACATAGGTATGCTAAATGTAATAATCTTGAATTTCCTGACACATTTGATTCAAGCGAAAAAGTCAACTACCTAATGTATTGGGACGTGAATTCTCTCTATGGTTATGCTCAATGCCAAGCGTTACCCACGGGTAATTTTCGCTGGTTGTCACCGGACGAAATTAACTATATGGAAATCAAGTTGAAAAGTGGCATTTTCCACAAGTCCGATAATAACTTATCTTATGCTTTGGAGGTTGATTTAGAATATCCGCAACATTTACACACTCAAGATTCTCATATACAATTTCCTTTTTGTGCCGAACATATAACTCCGAAGGAAAGCAATTTAAAAAAATTATGTTGCACATTGAGCGATAAAACTAAATATGTTATTCATTTCGAAAATCTTAAACAATGTTTAAAATTTGGATTGGTGTTAAAAAAAATTCATAGAGTTATTGAATTTAGGCAATCCGATTGGTTGAAAAGTTTTATAGATTTAAATACAGATTTTAGAATGAAAAGCAATAGTGACTTTGAAAAGAATTTATTTAAATTGATCATAAACTCGGTTCATAAGTCTCAGACCCAAAATGTATATTATGAAAGTCGATGGTAGAGAAAGAACTGCGAAAGTAAAAGGTGTTTCGCTAAGCGCCAAAAAGTTGACATTCGAAGATTTTCAACGATGTCTGTTTGATAATGAAATTTGTTTTTCCGAATTCTCAGGGATATGTTCGCAAAATCATCAAAATTTCAGTTATACTATCAATAAATTAAGTTTGTCGTCAAATGACAATAAACGCTTTATTAAAGATAATAAAATAGCTACGTTACCTTGGGGGCATTATTCGCTAAAATCCCTTATGATTTAATTTTATAATCTTCTCACGCAACATTATACTTTGTATTATCTTATAGTGTAAGTATTATTGTACTTATAATTTCTTTTAAAGGAAATGCAATGTATATCGCTTACATGTTTACTTTTTCAATCAAAGTGTACAAAACAAAGTACCTTTATTTCTTCCATCGATATCATACAATGTATTCGCATCTAGTAATAATATGTCTATCAAATAAACTGTTGCTCGTATATATTAAAATGTATATTGCTTATTTACGTGTCTACTTTTCCAATCAAAGAAAGTATACAAATCATCCTGTCTCACCCTATCTTAGTCTCTTCTCACGAGATCAAACATCGCGAATATAAAAGCTCCAACGAAGGATCGCTTCGAGGAAAAATGAATCTATCTGACTGGGTGAGAGGGCGCCTTCCCACCGATTGGCCAGTAAGTTCATTTATTTCTGATTTTTTTTAAATTTTTGTATTGAGTCACTTTTTTTAATTTAAAATCCTGATCTTTTAGGCTTACTGCATAGTATTTCCGGGCAGTGGGGCGCCTCCCCCAACCCCTTTCATTTATTCGGGNTATTAGTGTGTTATTTTTGTGTTTAAATTTTCTATAACTTTTACTTTTTGTATAGAAAAAAAGGCAAAACACTGTAATAACATGAATATTTTAAAATCATTAGTTTGGTCGACCACAAAGCGATAAGAAGAAATAACTAACCAAACCAGATTTAATAATAATTATGTTAGCATACTTGTCGCAAACTTGTACATATTTTGTGTTAATTTTTGTTATTATCAATCCATACATTCCAAAATAATGTACGTGCGAGAAACTTTTAGAATCAGTGTAGAAACGTTGATAATTCAAGGCTAACAACAAGATTAAATTGTTTACAAATTACTTTCAACATCAAGGAAAATCTAGGTCATATAACACTTTTTACATTTGAATTTCAATTTTCTTTTTTACATCGCATTATTTAAACTCATTTATGAACAAACAATATGAAACGGTGAGACCGCATACATTTCAATAAATTACAATAACATTAAACAGAAACGTGTAATTCTCAGAAAATGAACTTTACACTTTATAACATTTAATTATTGTAATTGTTCGAAATATATTATTATTATTACTTTTACTGTTTCAACGTTGATGTCTCAGCTATTAAATACAAGGCCAAGTGCAACAAACTACTTACTTAGATACATACATGCATACATACATACATACATACATACAAGCGTGCATACATACATACATACACGGAAACATTTGCACGCGCGGCGTATTGTAGTGGGCGTTAACAAAAACAAAAAACCGTAAATAATAACAAAAAAAATGGACGATGTCACGCCCATCCAGTCATTAACAAAATGGACGATTACAACATCATTAAAAAATATTGCAATATGGCAATGTGGGGGAACAGGGGGGGACGATGACACAAGAGGGGGACGGGGCCGACCAATCAGAGGAATCTAACGAGCGGAAGTGCCGTAAGAAAAGCATTGGGAGATAAGGAGATTTGCCCCTAGATATCCTACTACCACTCCTCCAACCTAACCGACACCGTTCGCGACGTCCCGCCTGAGTTCCAGTCGGAACTCCGCGGTCTACTCACCGAGTTTGCAGACGTGCTTAAAGAGGAAATGAGCAATCACACCACCAGAGCCACTAAGCACAGCATCCGCCTTCGTTACGACACGCCGTTCAGGATCCGCCCCCTACTGTTGCTCCGACGCCAAGAAACGCTTGATACAAGAACAGGTAGAAGAAATGTGGGCCCAAGGAATCGTCGAACCAGCTACATCTAACTACATTTCCCCGGTAGTCATTGTCCCGAACAAAGAATGGGCACTCTTCGCTTTTGTGTTGACTATCGAAGGTTCAACGTCCAAACTGAGGACGACCCCATCCCCTACGCGTCATCAAGGACACTATTCGGGATATAGATACAGCGACGATATTCACCACCTTGGATTTTCGATTTCGTTACCGGCAGGTTCTCCTGGATCCTTACTCACGGCCACTCACCGCATTCAGCACACCGGCGGCTATACCACTTTACGGTCATGCCGTTCGAACTCAAGGGAAGCCCAGCAACATTCGAGCGGCTTATGATGCAAGAGGTTCTTACTGGGTATCTTCGATACTTCGCAATGGTATACCTCGACGATACAATCATTTATTCATCCACTTGGGAGGACCACGCTCGCCACGTCCTGGAGCGGCTCCGTGAACACAACGTCCGATGCGCACTCCTTAGGTGTCATTTCGGCAAGCGAGAAATCACGTACTTGGGCCGTGTAATTGACAAAGATGAAAACCGACCCCAGGAGCACCATCTACAACAGATACAGGGAACCGAGCCTCCACGAAATCGGAAGCAATTACTTAGGCGCCTGCAACTGGCTGCGAAATTACGTACCCCGATTCTAAGAGATAGCCACCCCACTGGCAGACCTGCTGAATCCCAAAAGAAAGTGGACCCGGTCTAAAGAAAGGCAGATCGCCTTTAACACCACTAAGCAAGTCCTAGACACTACACTGGCCTACCGCCATCTACAAGCCTCGCGCCAATCCTGTCGAACGCTGCAACCAAGAAATAAAGAAGGGCTTGCGCATCCGCCTCAACAACCGCCAACCGGAGACCTAGAACCTTTACCTCTCAAAGGTCCTGTTCAGCCTACGCCGCCGCCATAGGCCGAATACCCAGCCAAGTGGTGCTTGGACAACAAATCTCAACCCCGGGACAATGGCGAGACTACCAACGCGTTCGCAGGAGTAAATGCTAGTATCACCAAGTCCGAGCCCCTCTCCTCGGGGTGGGGGGGCACGACCTTGCTAGCGGAAAACACCTTAAAAATGCTTGGAAGGCGCTAAGGACAACCAAAACAATGCTATGAATAATAGACCATAAAGATACGTAGGTTACTGCTTCAGCCCCTTCGGATGGGGCAGAGTCGCCAGGGATGGGGGTTTAAGGGTACCCCCCGCCGAGCCGTTAGTAAGCAACTGCGCTGAATCGACGGGTGAGAGTGAGGAATCCCTACGCCGGTGTGGAGTGTCTGGCGATGTTACCGGCCAGCGAAAGGCTTGTTTATCTGATGGCGAGTCCGACGCTGTAGAGAGGCCGAACGCCGAGAAGTCTGAACCTGTAGAGGTTCGCCCTACAGGTTCACAACCTGGTGGAGGAGGTGATGCGAGGCTACAGACCCGCCGCATGGACGGTGGAGACCTGGCCAAGCAGGCAGGTAAGGGTGAGGCGACAAGAAGGCTGTCGGGTAGTGCTCCCCGCACCAGGCTAATGGCGAGAACCCAAAGCCTGGCTGAAGGAGTAGTGAGGAATGCCCACGTGTCTGAATCCTCCGAGGAGTACGGTCCGTGGGTGAGAGTTGGGAAGCCCAAAGCCAAGACCGAAGGTGGTAATAAGGGGGTGGTTTCTGCTGAGGAGGCGAAGGCCTCCAAGGCAACTAAGCTGCACCCCGCAAGGAAGGCGAAGGGCGGTAAAGGGGCTGTGACCAAGGTCGACAAGCCCAAACCCGCCAAGAGCCTGGTTGTCCGGGTTGTGAGGGTCCTAAGACCGAACGAGTCGGTTACCTAAAAGCTTAGGATCACCGGAAACGGGGGAAGCTCGTAACCTGGAAAGAGAACACTGAGATCCTCCTGAGGGTGTGGTTCCCCAAAGGTCCCCAACCGAATCAACGAATCAACGTGTGCTCACGCCTACCGAGGCGATCGTGTCCGGAAACACCCGATACCGGACGTATTCAATTAATGGTAGCGGTAACGCGAGCGAGTGCGGGTCTGCAATGGAAGTTGTGCAACCATTTTCAAAGAGGAAGAAAAACACGCAGCCAAATAGTGACGATACTGCGGATTCCGAATCCCCGAGTGTGTTGGAACCAACAAAACCCAAAAATCGCGATAACGAAAAGAACGCTAAAGTAAACAGCGGTCCTTTTGATGGAGAGCCTGGTCCAGATATCTGGAGTTGTGAAGGAGCTGAGACATACGGTTAAAATCAGGGAACAGAAAGTGAAAGAAGTCACAGCAAACGCAGAAAAGCTGTAAGTACCACTGCTGTTTTATATTACGCCGATAGGTTGAATGTAGGGAAGCAACAAACAAATACGGTTAGCGAAAATAGCCTTTCTGTTAGAGTCGACTCTAGAGGCGCGGACTATATTAAAAAAGTAGTATTCAAAACGGTCGATGTGGTCAAGACCAATATCGCGGTAAAAAACATTAAATCAACTAAATCAGGCGACTTAGTAATTGATTGCGCAAAGAAAGAGGACGCGGAGAAGTTGAAAACTTCTTTAGCAGTCAACGCTAAAGAATAGGTAGCAGTTAGGGACATTAAAAAACGTTGGCCTCGTGTAAGGATAGATCGCATTAGCAAGGAGTTGAGGTGCATGCATTAAACTATATTAGGGCACAATGATTTTGTAGACGAGCACTGCGGCAATGATGTCAACAAATTTAAGGTAGATTTTAAACAATTAACGGTTTTTGAGAGCAGGGGAAGTAAAGATTTTTATAGCGCGGTTTTTGAAGTAAATCCCATTTTAAGGAAAAAATTATTAGATAGGACGATTTACTTAAATTGGCAAAGGGTTTTCGTTAGGGACAACTTCTCTATGTTGCAGTGCTTCCAGTTTTATGATTTTGATCATTAATCTAAAAATTGCAAAGTGAAAGAACAAATTTGCGGTAAATGCGGCGGAAAACACAGTTTCCGAGACTGTAAGTCCAAAACGACTTTCTGCGTTGTTTGCATTAGGTCCAATAGGGACAAAAGACATGCACCTGTTAAGACTGACCACGACGCTAAAAGCCAGTCTAGCGCGACTATAAACAGGATTAAAAATTCAATCCTTTCAAACATAGATTTTTATGGATCCTAAATCCACAAAAATCAACCCCGACGCGGATTTGGTATTAAATTTCGGACAAATTAATTTAGGCAAGGGCAAGGCGGCTACAAGCAATCTTTTAAAAATTATTTCAGATAAAAAGTTAGATATTTGTTTTGTGCAGGAACCGACGGTCAACAAATCTAAAATTACAGGTTTTTCTAAAAATAATTTTATCATTTCGAAACAATGTAATATTCCTAAAAGTGCCATTATTGTTAATAATTTGAACATTAATAATCTATTTCTAGAGAACATTTCAACAGATTATATTGTCATTAGTGAAATTACCTATTTTTCCAAATCGCTTATTCTCGTAAATGTCTATTTACCACCCGCTGGCACTAATGTCGACGAAAACCTCATTTTCGAACGACTTCGAGAAATTGCTCATCAAATAGGTAATTTAAAACCAATTATCTTCGCGGGTGATTTTAATGCTAAACATTACGTATGGGGCAGTCCGATTAACGATAATAGGGGTGATAAACTTTTTGAATTTTTTGAACAAAATAATTTAATTGTTTTAAATAATAATACTGAACCAACTTTTGTCGGACATCGCGGTATTAGTTTTGTTGATTTAACAGTAGTAAATTTTGAGGCACTTAAACTAATTAAAAATTGGCAACTTGTTGACGAAGAAACACTCTCCGATCACAAGTTAATTTTTTGGCAAATACATTTTAACAATAGCGAGATAGATTTTGTCGACCGTAGGTTTTGTAATAAAAAAGCAGATTGGGACGTTTTTTCTGAAAAATTTAGGGATAGCATAGGAAACATAGTACTATTAGACGAAAATAATGTTTCAGATCGCGCTAGTTTTTTAAATGACTGCATTGTAGAAGCTTGCGAGGCGTCAATGCCGCCTACAAAATCTTTTAGAAATAGTGTACCGTGGTGGACAAAACAGCTGACTGAAAAAAGATCAGAAACGCGTAGACTTCGTCGATCATTTCAACGCGAAAAAAACGACGCCATTAGAAACAATAAAAGAGCCGTATATAATCGTGCATTTCGGGAATATAAAGAACTATTAACTAAAACAAGGGGCGATAAATTTAAAGAATTTTGCACGCGCAATTCAGAAAAGGATCCTTGGGGAACGGCCTACAAAGTCATTCGCGGTAAAAAAACTAACAAAGTAAGTTTCCAAAATCTAAAACTTCCCGACGGTACTTTCACTAAAGACACTAAAGATACGGCCGATTTTATTCTACATTCTTTCTTTCCGTCGGACGACCCTATTTCAGATAATCAAAATCACGCGCGAGTTCGCACGGCCGCGAACAATGCAATCGAGTTTGATGGGTTTTTTAAGAATATCACCTACGCGGAAATAGANCGAATTGCGCAAACGAAGTATTTCCGGAAATTTAATCAAATTAGTCCAGAATTATTTTAGCGACAGAACCGCTGTTGTTACCATTTCCGCTGCCGCGGTAACCAGGAAAGTTGAAAAGGGTTGTCCGCAGGAGTCGTGCTCCGGCCCGCTCCTGTGGAACATCTCATATGATACAGTTTTTAATATCGCATTAGCGGCCGAATGCAAAATTTTTTCATTTGCGGACGATACTTTGTTCGTCGTCGAGGCGCAACAATATAAATAATAATTATATAGATAAGCATAAAATTATTAGTCAAAATTAATATGATTTCCAAACTGGAAAAAGTACTGACGATGCACTTGTTATTTGATATTTGATGAAGTTCATGATGCAATAAGTAAAACAATACCTTGTATAGCAATATTTTTTGATCTTGCAAAAGCTTCTGATACAGTAAACCATAACTTTTTATTGCAAAAACTTTATAAACTAGGTTTTAGATGTTAAGCGTATAATCTACTACGTGGTTACTTAACGGATAGGAAACAAATTGTTAAATAGACGATGTTTATAGTAATGAGATATGTGTACGTTGCGGTGTCCGCAGGGCACCACATTGGGTCCCATCTTATTCATTCTGTATATCAACAGCATGCTTATAATGGACGTAGGTAGTGAAATTGTATCTTTTGCAGATGACACAGTATTAATTGTCAAAGAAGAGACGTGCGAACAAGCGATAACATCTGTCAATTTAATGATAAATAAAGTAATGAAATGGTTATCTCATAACCACCTCCCTCTTAATGTAGAAAAAACTGTATATATGACTTTTGACAGTTATAGAAATAGCTTACCGCCCAATACAAAT